TTGGCTCCGATATCTGCTGATTGAGTGAAAATTTGTCACAGAATCTAAGTAGTTCTCTAATCTGTGGTTGGTTAGGTCCTGATAGATTTCCTGGTATAATATTATTGTTTGCTATTTTCCACCTGAGACTAGGCAAGTTGAAGTCACCTAGGAAGATAATATCAGGTATCGGGTTCTCCAAATTATCAAGGCTATTCTCTATTTTGCTTATCTGTTCTGTGAATTCCTCAGCCGTTGCATCTGGCGGTTTGTATATTAGTATAATCACTAAATTTATTTTCTCTATTTTTAATCCCAGTACCTCTACCATCTCATTTGTAACGTTTAGGAGCTCTGAGCATACAAGGTCTTCCCTAATATACAGACCCACTCCTCCATGTGACCTAATTTTCCTATCACACCTGTATAGGTTATATCCTGGAATCCAGATCTCACTGTCCAACAATTCCCCTGCATGGGTTTCTGTGAAAGCTCCAAATACTGCATTTGACTCCGTGAGGAGGCCATTTATGAACTGTACTTTGTTGTTTGTTCTTGTTTTCAGTCCTTGTATGTTGGCAAAGATGAATGAGGTTACTCTATTAGTGATAGTTTGAATGTGAGACTTTTTCGGCAAGTCCATTATTCGTGGACATAATGAGTTTGTTCTGACCAGTACTGATTGTTGTAGGGCAGTTTTCTGTCGTAGTTGTAGTTCCCTTTCGGTGGGTAATTGTATCTGTAATTCTGGAATGCAAGTGGATCTGGCATCCAGTTCCATAACTCTCCATGCTGCTCCTTTTGAATTCTCTGCCGGTCTGGTATAAAAAATTTATAGAGTTTCCTCCAAATTCATTATCCTGCTTGCCACTCTTTATGTAGCGTTCCGTGCCTTTCACGTGAAAGTGTGGGCAGCTGAGGTCATAGCATTTTCTGTCCTCCAGTGAGGTTTGGCACATGTCAGGATGGAAAAACCTACATATTGATCCAAATCGACACTCACCTTTCCTAAGCATATTTAAACATTTTTTGGGATGTTGGTAACTGCATTCTAATCCTTTCTTATTACCAGCATATCTATGTCTGCATATGCCCTTTGCATAAAATTTGCATAAGTCTGTCCTTCTGTTCTGAATTGCTCTATCGGGAACCGTCGTAGTGTCTGTACCTATCGAGCTGTCAGTGCTGTCTGTTACACTTTCTAGTTTACTGTCATCTACATCCTGGCCTACTGAGTCAGAGTTTACAACTTCCTGAGTTTCAGCCTCAGTTTCATCCCTGACTATATCCTCCGCCCCTTGTATATTAGAATTGTTGTTCCTTTCCCACTCCTTCTGGATGGCTGGTAGGCTTCCAATGAATGATGTTTTCCGATCATGCGTCATGTAATCTAGAAGGTTTTTAAGGATATTCCAAGCTGGCAGGTCATTTTTACACACCCAGAGCAAGTGACCAGCTCTCAGTGCCGTAGTGTTACTCACTCCTGTACAAGCCGAATGGAATCTAGTCCTACAGATATAACATTCAATTCCCGTTACCTTCGTCTTTAAGAAGTTGTTACAGTGGCCACAAATTTGTTTATTTACTCCCATATTGCCTTGTTTTGTTGTATATATCTATATATTTATAATATTATATGTATATTGTATATTTGTAACAATATATATGTATATATATTTATATGTTTAATATTTATAATATTATATGTATACCGTATATTTGTAATATTATGTATGTTATTTTGTTCAAACTTTATGGCAGGTACTTAGCGTAGGGTAGCGAGGCTGGTCCCCGGTCGGTACAGGTGACCTCTTGTTGTCCCAGGTTGATGTCACCAGTTTCCAGTTACCCGATTTATAACCACTGATGCCGCCTCTTGCCACTATTCTATATTTCTAGTATTCTATTCTATATTTATAATATTCACTTCCAACTTATATGTTGTTGTGATACCCGTTCCACTTCACTGTTCCACGAATCACCGTTCACTATTTTTTCCTAATACACGCATGTACACAAAGCCTCGTTCACTGGCTCACACGTGTCTCCCGTTTATTTTCTATTTAACACAAAGTTCTATTGTTAATGACTATTTTCAATTTTCCAGTCCACTACTAGCTCACCACAGCCCCGCTCCTGTGCCGGGTAAGTCCACTAAACACTACAGGTTGTCGAGGTTGGTAGTGTGTTGAGGTTGTTAGTGTGTTAAGGTTGGTAGTGTGTTGAGGTTGTGAGTGTCTTGTTGTGTAGTGTGTTGAGGTTGGGAGTGTGTTGAGGTTGTGAGTGTGTTGTAGTTGGAAGTGTGTTGTGGGTGGACGTGTGTTGTGGGTTGAAGTGTGTTGTGGTTGGTAGTGTGTTGAGGTTGGGAGTGTGTTGAGGTTGGGAGTGTGTTGAGGTTGATAGTGTGTTGTGGTTGGGTGTGTGTTGTGGTTGGGAGTGCGTTGTGGTTGCGAGTGATTCTATGTGATTTGTAATCTTACTTCTTAGACCTCTTTAAAATATTTTTATGATGTGTGAAGTTAGAGCTATTGTTTTACAAAATTTCGCGTCAGCCATACTGCATTTTTTGAGAAGTGACGCGATCTCCGCTGTTATAATTATATCGGAGATGACACCAGTATTTCTTAAGTATGTCAATAGCCACAGTATAACAATTGCCACTCCTTTTTTCTTAGCAGTATTCTTTTTTCATTGGTTGGTCTTTAAACTGCAGAGGACTTGTGTCTTGTGTTTTATATTCATTGACAATCATCATATTTAGAATTTCTATTTTGGGTATCAGCACTTCCACCATGTGGTTTGTGTTGTTTAGCAGTTCGTTGCAGATGTGTCTTTGATGTACACGCTGACCCCACCCTGTAGCCTGTGTTTCCTGTAGTATCTGAAAATATTATATTCAGGTATGCACATTTCACTCTCGTAATAGTCCTTAGTGTGAGTAGAGTTAAAACAGCGAACATTACATTTTCGTTTTGTAGATTGCATTTCACACTTTTCGTTTTGTAGTCTATCCGTGTCTCAACATACCTGAACTAAATGTGTTGGTATCACCTGGACTGCTGTTTGCATTTCTCTTCAATTTTTGAACATGCAGTAACGAGGTAATTCCTAACCTCTTTAGAGGAATTATTAACAAAAATAAAAAATAAAATACTTTTTTCAGATAGAATCCATTACCCTCAACGTAAATCCAGTACATTAAGATATTTGCCATTCCTTTTTTTCCTTAAAGTAACTGGAAGTTTGACACAATTAGAGTGTGCGACTGCATCACACAATTGACAATTTATGTAGTTTGGGTACATAACATTTTTGTTGTATTTCGTACAAGACACGAGTGTAGCCATAGTTGTTTATTTCAACACAATTATATAGATATTATTGTTGTGTTGGTATCACCGTGTTGTGATGGCCTTTGTAGTATGCCTAATGTTGTGGTCTTAAACAACTTTAGGGACGACATCCTCCGCTTAGTAAAACCCTAGACAACTAGTCCATGACACAATAAAAGCAAAGCATCCTGGGATTCCTATGAATGCACTAGGATCTTCAGGTTCCAAACCGAATCCCAAAGCAGGGCAGTGTGTTAAACATCCTGGTTTAAGCTTAAGTTAGGAGCCTCAGGACCCCCCCCCCTAGTGGATTCAGTGGAATCCCAGGTTGAATTACTTTTACCGTGTGAAGGTGTAGTGGTCCAGGGCGTTAGCTTTGGAGTACCAAGTGAGCAGGTTATGGACACCTGCCTTAACCCACTCGGCCACGATAGGATTCCTTACCTCTACTCACCCTCCTTACTCCTGCCTCACTACAATACCACAACAATAGCTTGCCATGCCGAAAAATGTATATATTTATATGTATTTTTTTTCCAAAAATATTAGGTGTTGACGGAAAATATTTACATCTGACCCTTATATGCATATTTTGTTTCTCCCCCAAATAGGTAATACTGCTTCTAGTCTCTGCTCGACTACCTAGCACCATAATAAACACAACTGCTGCCCATTGAAGATGGTAAGGAGAGTTATGTTGATGTGTCCACCCAGTGATGGTAAGAGTATTAATGGTGATGTCACTACCCAGTGATGGTGACTATTAATGGTGATGTCACTACCTAGTGATGGTGACTGTATTAATGGTGATGTCACTACCTAGTGATGGTGACTGTATTAATGGTGAAGTCACTACCTAGTGATGGTGACTGTATTAATGGTGATGTCACTACCTAGTGATGGTGACTATTAATGGTGATGTCACTACCTAGTGATGGTGACTGTATTAATGGTGATGTCACTACCTAGTGATGGTGACTGTATTAATGGTGATGTCACTACCTAGTGATGGTGACTGTATTAATGGTGATGTCACTACCTAGTGATGGTGACTGTATTAATGGTGATGTCACTACCTAGTGATGGTGACTGTATTAATGGTGATGTCACTACCTAGTGATGGTGACTGTATTAATGGTGATGTCACTACCTAGTGATGGTGACTGTATTAATGGTGATGTCACTACCTAGTGATGGTGACTGTATTAATGGTGATGTCACTACCTAGTGATGGTGACTGTATTAATAGTGATGTCACTACCTAGTGATGGTGACTGTATTAATGGTGATGTCACTACCTAGTGATGGTGACTGTATTAATAGTGATGTCACTACCTAGTGATGGTGTGTGTATTAATGGTGATGTCACTACCCAGTGATGATGAGTGTATTAATGGGGATGTCACTACCAAGTAGTGGTGAATGTATTAGTGATGGTGTTGTCACTACCCAGTGATGGTGAATGTATTAGTGATGGTGTTGTCACCACCCAGCTTGAGTGAGTGTATTAATGATTGTGTTGTCACTACCCAGTGATGGTGAGTGTATTAATGATGGTGTTGTCATTACCCAGTGATGGTGAGTGTATTAACGGTTGTGTCACTACCCAGTGATAGTGAGTGTATTAATTGTGATGTCACTACCCAGTGATGATGAGAGGATTAATGATATTGTTGTCTTTACCTAGTCATGGTGAGTGTATTAATGATCATTCACCATAACTACCCAGTGATGGTGAGTGTATTAACAGTTGTGTCACTACCCAGTGATAGTGAGTGTATTAATGGTGATGTCCCTTCGCAGTGATAGTGAGTGCATTAATGGTGATGTCACTGGTTGATACCTGGTTGATGGGGTTCTGGGAGTTCTTCTACTCCCCAAGCCCGGCCCGAGGCCAGGCTTGACTTGTGAGAGTTTGGTCCACCAGGCTGTTGCTTGGAGCGGCCCGCAGGCCCACATACCCACCACAGCCCGGTTGGTCCGGCACTCCTTGGAGGAATAAATCTAGTTTCCTCTTGAAAATGTCCACGGTTGTTCCGGCAATATTTCTTATGCTTGCTGGGAGGACGTTGAACAACCGCGGACCTCTGATGTTTATACAGTGTTCTCTGATTGTGCCTATGGCACCTCTGCTCTTCACTGGTTCTATTCACCACTACCAAGTAGTGGTGAATGTATTAGTGATGGTGTTGTCACTACCCAGTGATGGTGAATGTATTAGTGATGGTGTTGTCACCACCCAGCGAGAGTGAGTGTATTAATGATGGTGGTGTCACTACCCAGTGATGGTGAGTGTATTAATGATGGTGTTGTCACCACCCAGTGATGGTGAGTGTATTAATGATTGTGTTGTCACTACCCAGTGATGGTGAGTGTATTAATGATTGTGTTGTCACTACCCAGTGATGGTGAGTGTATTAGTGACGGGTGTTCTCAGTACTCAGTGTTAGTTCGGAAAAGCATTGAGCTAGGCATGTTAACAGGGAGGAGGTGGGTGTTTCAAAAAAGTAAACTCTTTAAAAACTAGCCAGGGCCTGATGTGTTATAAGTCTCTTAATGCTATTTGGCCTCATTCACTCTTAGAGGAGAGTACCCTGACACAGCCGGGTACTAGAGGAGGGGAGGGGTGGTGGAGAAGGTCCCTGGCACAGCCGGGTACTAGAGGAGGGGAGGGGGAGGTGGAGAAGGACCCTGGCACAGCCGGGTACTAGAGGAGGGGAGGGGGAGGTGGAGAAGGACCCTGGCACAGCCGGGTACTAGAGGAGGGGAGGGGTGGTGGAGAAGGACCCTGGCACAGCCGGGTACTAGAGGAGGGGAGGGGTGGTGGAGAAGGACCCTGGCACAGCCGGGTACTAGAGGAGGGGAGGGGAGGTGGAGAAGGACCCTGGCACAGCCGGGTACTAGAGGAGGGGAGGGGAGGTGGAGAAGGACCCTGGCACAGCCGGGTACTAGAGGAGGGGAGGGGAGGTGGAGAAGGACCCTGGCACAGCCGGGTACTAGAGGAGGGGAGGGGTGGTGGAGAAGGTCCCTGGCACAGCCGGGTACTAGGGGAGGGGAGGGGAGGTGGAGAAGGACCCTGGCACAGCCGGGTACTAGAGGAGGGGAGGGGTGGTGGAGAAGGACCCTGGCACAGCCGGGTACTAGAGGAGGGGAGGGGAGGTGGAGAAGGTCCCTGGCACAGCCGCGTACTAGAGGAGGGGAGGGGAGGGGGAGAAGGACCCTGGCACAGCCGGGTACTAGGGGAGGGGAGGGGAGGGGGAGAAGGACCCTGGCACAGCCGGGTACTAGAGGAGGGGAGGGGAGGGGGAGAAGGACCCTGGCACAGCCGGGTACTAGAGGAGAGGAAGTAGAGAAGGACCCTGGCACAGCCGGGTACTAGGGGAGGGGAGGGGAGGGGGAGAAGGACCCTGGCACAGCCGGGTACTGGAGGAGGGGAGGGGAGGGGGAGAAGGACCCTGGCACAGCCGGGTACTAGAGGAGGGGAGGGGAGGGGGAGAAGGACCCTGGCACAGCCGGGTACTAGAGGAGGGGAGGGGAGGTGGAGAAGGACCCTGGCACAGCCGGGTACTAGAGGAGGGGAGGGGAGAGGGAGAAGGACCCTGGCACAGCCGGGTACTAGGGGAGGGGAGGGGAGGTGGAGAAGGTCCCTGGCACAGCCGGGTACTAGAGGAGAGGAAGTAGAGAAGGACCCTGACACAGCCGGGTACTAGAGGAGGGGAGGGGTGGTGGAGAAGGACCCTGGCACAGCCGGGTACTAGAGGAGGGGAGGGGAGGGGGAGAAGGACCCTGGCACAGCCGGGTACTCGCTCTGGAATGCAATAAAAACCCAATATCTGTTAATACATCTTCATGATCATACATTATTTTCCACAGGATCACTACAAGCCAGAGGAGTGTTCAGTCTGTCTTATCAATTATGACGAAGATCTACGGCCTCGCTCACTGCCGTGTGGGCACTCATTCTGCTCCAAGTGTGTTGACAATGCTATCAAGAATGGTCAGCTGACCTGCCCCAGCTGCCGCACCCAGCACAGTGCCCGAGCTGCTGCTCACCTCCCTATTAATTATGGTATAGAGGCATGTGTCAGGAAACTAAAACAATACCAGCTTATGCCAATGGGAACTTCAACAGCAAAACGCTGCCAAACTCAAACTGGTGTCGCCAGCAAGAAGTTACGTTCTATGGTGGAGGAGCAGAAGAGCAGTATCAGAAGCCTTATTACTGAGCGTGAAGAGGTACTGTCCCAGCTGGGTGAGTACCGGGGGCAGCTGAGTGACTGGAAGACTCGACACCTCCAACTCCAGGAGAGACTGGTAGAGCAGAACAAGGCCGTAATGAAACTCTTAGAACAGGAGGATGTCAGAGTGGTGGCTATGACAACACAAGGAGAGGAAGTGATGACTCTGCTGCAAGCCATGTTGGGAAGCCTTGACACAGCCAACTCTATAGACAACGCCGATACTGCCATTGATACAGCTGTTGAGGGTAATGTGGAGGTGCAACATTGGTTCCAGAAGTGTCAGGCGCTCTTCCCGGATGTCAACACTGTGTACATCTCAGTGAAGGTATGTGCTGAAGGTCACATTGTTTGCATAGAACTGAGCGTAATATTGCCAATGTATAAAGCCTTTTTATTCAGAGAAACACAAATATCAGACTAAACGCAGATGATGAGTCACAATAACGTGGCTGAAATATGTTGACCAGACCACACACTAGAAAGTGAAGGGACAACAATGTTACGGTCCGTCCCGGACCATTCTCATTGACTTGAGAATGGTCCAGGACGGACCGAAACGTCGTCGTCCCTAGTGTGGTTTGGTCAACATCAGACTAGACTTTATAATACGAAAAATATTTGCTCCAACAAGTGAAATATTTTCTGATAATACAATCAACTGTCATCTTGGTGTTTCTCAACACTAGTCAGTATTCTCGTCAACTAAATCAACTTTCATTTTGGTTTTTCTCTACACTGTGGTGAGCATTCAGTGTTCTCAACCTGCATCATTAATGTTTGTGTTGGTAATGACAGGTGCAGGAGACCATCAGGAAGGCCCTGGATATTATAATGACCACAGTGGCAGGTACCACAACTGATCCCGTACACCTGGGAGACTCAGCCTCCAGCATCATGAATAAAGTTCGAGATATCACTGGAGAGATCACCAAGAAGCCATTAACTGTATGTTTATCATCCTTTTGCATTCCTCTTTCCCTTTCCGTAGAGTAGATTGACAATATTGGATAGTGGCATTCCTTTCTGTTATATTGTTTGCTAGTTGACCATTAAACAGGTAAAGTCATTGTATGGTTCCTGACATTATAGGCCAGCCATAAAGTCACTCCCATATTATTCTCACAGTAAACATAATTGAAATTTTCAGTGAATGCAGTTTCCTTCATTAGTAAAATTTTCCAGAATCGTCTTATTAACCGTTTTCATTTTATCCGTTATACACTGACCACAAGGCCTTCCACCAGTTACAATGTTCCCAGGAATGTATATACTCTGTCCACAAGGCCTTCCACCAGTTACAATGTTCCGAGGAATGTTATACACTGACCACAAGGCCTTCCACCAGTTACAATGTTCCGAGGAATGTATATACGCTGTCCACAAGGCCTTCCACCGTTACAATGTTCCCATGAATGTTATACACAGACCACAAGGCCTTCCACCAGTTACAATGTTCCGAGGAATGTATATACGCTGTCCACAAGGCCTTCCACCAGTTACAATGTTCCCAGGAATGTATATACGCTGTCCACAAGGCCTTCCACCAGTTACAATGCTCCCAGGAATGTTATACACTGACCACAAGGCCTTCCACCATTTACAAAGTTCAGTGGGATGTTTTACACTGACCACAGGACTGGTTGATGATTGATAAAGATTAAGCCACCCAAGAGGTGACACGGGCATGAATAGCCCGTAACCACAGGGCCTTCCACCAGTTGTGGAAATATTTAAAAATATCTATAAATCATATATATATTCATAGTCATATATAAATGTATGTATGTACGTTACATGAGCTTCCTGAAGAAGGGGCTACGTGGGGCTTGGTAATTATGTATAGATGAAGCCATCCACATGCGGCGTTCACCCACAGATTCATAATTATAATCCCACCACTGCCACCAATGTTAACCAATGCAGGTTAATGAAAGGGCGTTGAAGAACCAACCTCTGTGGCCTTTTCATCTTTATTATTAAACAAAACGTATACGAATAATGTATGTATTTGCCTTAATTTACCTGAAAGCCACCATCTGTCTAATAGCCATGACAGAAACCGGAGGCTGGTGGCTTGATATAGGTCCCCCATTTTTCCTGATAATTTTTTACAACTAAATTTTTAATTGCAGTGATGTGTTGGCATTTATGGCTCCAGCAGGTAAGCTATTCCATGGGTCCTATGGGTAAAAAAGCATCTCCTTTTTTCTGTCCTACATTGTGGCTTGTTTAGCTTGAAGCTGCTATACCTAGTTTGTGTTACACGTGACCTTTTAAAAAACAGTGGTTTTGCTTATTATCCTCCAACTTTTTCAGTATTTTAAAACTTTTTATAAGATCTGCCCTGTCATGTCTGGTTTGTGATGTTAGCCTTGTGGCCCTCAAATATTCCAAGTATGAGAGTCGACTTAGTTTTGGGATGAATTCTGCAGCAATGCATTGTACGTTTTCCAAAGCACATATATCCTTCTAGATGAGGGGACGTCATGCTTGGATATAGCAGTCCTAATGGGGACGCACCAAAGATTTATCCAGTTAAATAACCATTTTTTTCCTTGAAGCCAGTTTTTTTTTACTATTCCTGGTTTTTTCAGTTCCTACTTGTGCAACTTTCAGTGACTGATGGATTGATGTGACTCCTAGGTGTTTTTCTTCATCTGCTGCAAGGTGGTGTTATTTATTTGATAGTTGTGATGTTTATTGTAATGGCCCCCAGATGCAAGGTCTTGCATTTTCAATATTTAAGAGTGCTCACCAATCTTCTGATAGTGGGGCGGGAATACAACCTGTCAAACCGTTTAACAACCAGGTACCCATTTTACTGTTGGGTAAATAGAGGCTACAGTTAAGGATTGACGCCCAGTAAATCCTCCACGCCCAGGATACGAACCCAGGACAAAGTGCTCTTGATACAAGGAGGGGGGGGGGGGAATCGGTGTTGCTGACTGAGATGAGAAAGACCATGACCACCGTAATGCCCCTGTTACCTAGCAGTAAATAGGTACCTGGGAGTTAGTCAGCTATCACGGGCTGCTTCCTGGGGGTGGAGGCCTGGTCGAGGACCGGGCCGCGGGGACACTAAAGCCCCGAAATCATCTCAAGATAAACTCAAGATAAAACCGCCGCGGGTCTTTGCTCCCAAACTCTCTGGTGCCTCTGATCGCCCTAGGAGCCCTCCAGTCGAACCACAGGTGGAATCGCGACTCGCGATTCGGCCTCGTACCCGCAGAAGAGTGAAGGAAAACTCGATACTGACCAAGACATTGCTTCACCAGCTCCAGCACTTCCTCTAAGTTTGGCCTGCCGTAACAAAGGGTCAGAGGTCACCCGCTACATCCCTGTGTCACTCAACTGATTTGGTCGCTAGCTGGGTTTGAACTCTGCATCCCAGCAATGCAGCTCAGGGAAATATGTTCAGTGTTACCAGACAATGGTACGTATCTAACGATCACAGTGTTATTCAGTGTTACCAGCCTAGGGTAACCAGCCATAATAGTGTTATATATATATATATATATATATATATATATATATATATATATATATATATATATATATATATATATATATATATATATATATGTCGTACCTAGTAGCCAGAACTCACTTCTCAGCCTACTATTCAAGGCCCGATTTGCCTAATAAGCCAAGTTTTCCTGAATTAATATATTTACTATAATTTTTTTCTTATGAAATGATAAAGCAACCCTTTTCTCTATGTATGAGGTCAATATTTTTTTATTGGAGTTAAAATTAACGTAGATATATGACCGAACCTAACCAACCCTACCTAACCTAACCTAACCTATATTTATAGGTAAGGTTAGGTTAGGTAGCCAAAAAAGCTAGGTTAGGTTAGGTTAGGTAGGTTAGGTAGACGAAAAAACATTAATTCATGAAAACTTGGCTTATTAGGCAAATCGGGCCTTGAATAGTAGGCTGAGAAGTGCGTTCTGGCTATTAGGTACGACATATATATATATATATATATATTTATATATATATATATATATATATATATATATATATATATATATATATATATATATATATATATATATATATATATATATATATATATATATATATATATATATATATATATATATATATATATATATATATATATATATATATATATATATATATATGTTGTACCTAGTAGCCAGAACGTCGTACTTTGCCTACTATGCAAGGCCCGATTTGCCTAATTAGCCAAGTTTTCTTGAATTTATATATTTTTTCCACATTTTTTCTTATGAAATGATAAATCTGTCCATTTTATTATGTATAAGGTAATTTTTGTTTAATTTGAGTTAAAACTAACGTAGATATATGACCGAACCTAACCAACCACACCTAACCGAACCTAACATTTCTTAACCTAACCTAAACTAACACAACTAAGTCATTAATTTATGTTCTCAATATAATATAATAATAATAATTCAAATAAACTAGTTGGAAACAAATTATTGGAAAAAATAAAATCACTCGGCCTATTAGGCAAATCGGGCCTTGCATAGTAAGCCGAGAAGTGCGGTCTGGCTACTAGGTACGACATACATACATATATATATACATATATATATATATATATATATATATATATATATATATATATATATATATATATATATATATATATATATATATATATATATATATAATCTTTGGACAACACCCCCCCTCCCCATCCGGCCCGTTGGCGTCGTGAGGGGGCTTGGTGGACGGCTGCCGGAGTGTGATGCTCCGTTGGGCAGTCCTCTGTCCTTTTCTGGCCTTGCACTCCTGCTGCTGTCTTCTCCAATTGTGCCGGATCGCTTTTCCTTTTCCTTATGTTTCGTTTTTCTCCCCCCTCTTCTCCTATCTGCTTGTCGTTTCCTGCTGACCTTTTGCTTGTTTTGGATTCTTTCTTTGGACTTCTTCTATTTTGACGCCCGGGTGCTTGAGGAGGCATACTCTTGCACCCGTAGAACTGTAGTACCCAACGTCTCGAGCGAGGGGAACCTTTTATTGTCAATCCCCCTTTCGTCGCTGAACCCGATCTCGACGGACTGACGGTTCTTAAGGTGGCGTTTGTGGGGCGTATACTCACGACGCACCCCTAGGGGGCCCCGGCATGATCGGCGATAGCTTCCTGTTGGGTGTCCTGCCTCTAATTGTGGCTCCATGGTGGGTACGGGGGCACATTCGTGGGTGAATTTGTCACTTCTCGTCTCTGTGTCGTTGAATGTTTCCGTTGTACCCTCTCAGGCTCGTGGGGTGGGCGACCAAGCCCCCGAGTCGGCCTGTATTGGAAGACCAGGCTCTGTAGCTCCCGCTGCGTTGGGCCCCGACCTTGCTCCTCCTTTGACCGTCCTGACTTCTTCCCCCAGCTCCCCTCCCTCCTCTGTGGTTGGGTCGAGCCTCCAGCCCCCGGTGGTGACCACTTCGTCCCCTGGTGTGGCTAAGTCTTTCGTTGTGACTACTGCGCCTTTTGACCCCTCTCTCTCTAGGGGTTCTCAACGCCGTTCGCGCCCCAACCGCACTCGCTCGATTCCTTCTCGTGCTGATGCGTATCAGGCCTTGTTTGGTCCTGCTTCATGGGCCAAATACTTTGATCTCCTCCCTCTTGATTCTGCGCCTCCTGACGATTTCTCCCTCCATCGGCATCTTGTAGATTCCGTGGATGCGTCTGTTACTTTCAACCCCACTCGTCTCGGTACACGTGTCGTTGCTGCTCCTTTTCAGGATGCGGCTTCCCGCTTGGCTGCCTTATCTTGCCTTGGCGAGATCCCTGTTCGGGTCTCCAAGAACGTTCAGATGAATGCCAGTGTTGGCACTATTCTCCTCCCACCCCATGTTGCAACCGGTGTTCGGAATCTGCAGGATTGCCACGATGATATTCGGCATATCCTTCTGCCCAAGGCCATTCTGTCCTCCAGGTTGACTCGTTTACTCGTCCCCCTCGTGGTCGTCGCCGTCAACCCCTTCGCGTTGTGAAGATCACC